CCCGGCGATTCCGTTTAAACTCGCGTAACTCTCAATCGCGCACGACGTCGTCTCGCGTCGTGCAACCGGCGGCGTTCGCCGACAATGAGTCGTTCTGGCAATTTCGTCAGTGCGCGCGAGTACGATCGAGGATTCCCGTTATTACGTATGCTGTCCGAAGCCGAAAGTCATCCTCCGTGCGCTGCAATGACACGGAGGAACACGGCGCGCACGCACAGGTGTCACAGGAAATGTCGAAACATCGCGCGGGCTCGTACGCGAGCACCTTTCTCTCTCGACGAGAGTCGCCGGCGAATCTCGTTCCTCTCGCCGTCGCCTCGCGCGTGATTTCGGTCACGCACGCGCACGCGTGACGCGGCTGATTTCCCAGGAAGGCACCTTCGCCGGTGCACGCACTGTCTGTAACCACTGCGTCCGGATTACCAGGCGCGGCCGTATCCTCGCCGGTCCTCGCGCGATCGCGAAAAACGTCACTCGATCGTGATCGAGCGCGAAACTCGCGTGTCATTAACGTCCTTTGTTAACGCCGATTGGTGTGTCAGACGAGCAGGCGAGCGCGAGAATTGCCGCGCGGCCGACGGATTCGTTGTTTCATCGGTTTCGCGTAATTATTGCGAGATTAACGCGCGCTATTGTTATTATGTTTACTATTATTATCCGGATTATCAAAACAACGCAGCCTGTGCGCGCTCTGATCGTTTGTCCGGGCGAAATGTTAATGTAACATTTGAAAGCGGGAAAATTGCGGTATTTGCGAAGGGAATAATAACCGCCAGGATTGCCCGCCCGTTGTCGCGCGGTGTTTTTGATACAAATATACCGCGGCGCGTTTTGGCGTCGATCAGTTTTTGAACGCGCGCCACGATGCATGCATGAGGCGTATGAATGAGAAGTCGCACATGGCTGGGAAAATTTCAGTCGGACGGCGACGCCTGAACGCGAAAAAAACCGGCTCGTCGCGCGCGGCTATTGCAGTTGCCTGTTTGCAGGCGCTATTATTAAATTGCAGCCGTCGATGCACGAGGCAAAAGCGAGCAAGCGAGAGAACGATGATTCCCGACCACCTGATAACGCGACGCTGTCCAAGACTTTTTTTTAATTCCTCCGTTACATAATTTCCTCGGAATGGTAAATTTGCTTATTTGCCGATTTTCCCTTTCAATCAGACAACGAAACGATGAAAATGTAACCATAACATTAATTAACGGGCGAGTAAAAGTAAAACGTCGATGTATTGCGATCAATTGAAGTACCAAAATGAATTTAATGGTGTAATATGCAGAAATTGAACAAAAATTTGCGGAAGAACGACAGTCAGAAGTATACAAATCGTACACTACTTGAGAATCGAATTCGATTTGCGTGCTTTTGATTGTCGTTTCTTCCGCAAATTTTGGTTTAATTGCTGTATAATGTGTTATTAAATTAAGTTAATTTTGATGCTTAAATTAATCGCTCACTCGATGCTCATACATCAGCTGTTACGTGCCCGTTAAAAATCTAATAAAAAAATGTAAAAATGTAATACTATTACATTTTTTTCATCGTCTGATCGTGTATATTATACATTACAGTCACAATTTCTGTATTTATTTATTTATTTTTTCCGTCATCTTACTCTATCGCTGCATCGGATGAACGAAATCTTGAATTAACGTCTCGTTAATTCGGAAGTAGAGCCATAACGAGATCGTAATGGCGAGAGCTCGATGTACGGAGCAAGCAATGGGGGCCGGGTATCCGGTTTTTCGAGCGTACCAAGGGGTTAAGAAATTCCGACGCGTTAAAATCGACGAGCAAATATTTCGGGACTGCGCCTGGTTGCTTCGTGTTTTCGTTGGAGGTCCAGCCGATTGGCTCCGTCCGCGAATTTATTATTTATATCTCCGATGACCGAGAATTCGCAACACATGGCGGGGCTTATTGATCGTCGTTCGCACGGCCCACGCCAATTTTCGCGGGTGAGCTAACGTAATTGCTCCACGTGTACGCGTACTCGTGTTCTTACTGAGGCGGCAAGATGCGCTTTATCCTCGTCGTCCAGTAAACATCCTGGCGCCGACTTTCTTTCCGCCGACAGTGGTGAAAAGTCGTGAACGTGTCGGGCGATCCCGCGAAGTTTGTCAGGGAAATATTTGTTTTTGCGAAGTAATACCTCGCGAGAAAGACCGAGAGAGAGAGAGAGGGAAGAGCGACAGATGTGCGTAAACAAGAGCCATCGAAATTGTGCCAAAGCTATTTATATCTGTCCACCTATATTTACCCGGACCGGCGGAAACGGCTCACGTTGGGTCGCCTAATTAAATAACGTTCGATAATTCATTGTAGCGGGCGCGTCTCGGCCGAAAGCGTCGCGCACGGTGATATTAATTTCGCTTTCCGGCTTCGGGCCGTTTCGACAACTTGATTACCGGCGTCGTGCTAGAATCAATCGTAACGATGTAATTTACATTGTCCAATTTGGAATGAAATACAGTCTCGTTGGGAGTCTCAGGCAACCCGGACGACTGAAATAAATTCCGACTCACGCTCGGCCCACTGCTGCTGCTGCTGCATTGCCGTGTATCGTTATTTTTCGCGCGTCCCGCGTATGCGGACGCACGTTGTTGCGGAGAGTCTCAATGTTTTATATCTCCCGAAACGCTGGGCTGCCATTTTCGCCGCACGTACGCGCGTCTTGGCGTCGGCAACGAGCAGTGTGTTGTTGCGAGTAGCGTTATCGAGAAGCTAAATATTATACTACAGCCGTGGTGAGCGTTGAGACGACCCCAATTCTCTAAAAGCTTTTTTAAACTTTCAACGGGCGGATTCAACCGACCTTCCGGAAGAAAATCCAATTCTCATAGCGTAATTTATCACCGGTATGGGATAATCCGAGTTCCTCCATGTGGCCTTGAACGTAAAGTACGTTCTTTTTCCCCTCGAGCTACTCGCACGCAACCCTATTACTGCAGCTCGAAGAAATCTCGGTCGCGTGTTCCGAAGTATACAGCAGTATAAATCTTCTTGTTAAGGATCGACAGGGTCATAATATTTCTCACCTGTTCCTTTGTGTGGCTTTCCCAAACGTAGCTATTTTTTTCTAAGCTACAAATCGCTATTAAATAATTCCACTTCGTTGAGCTTGTGGTCAATAAGATTTAACCCTCTAATAGTAAAGCTGGGGTCGAATCCGATTCCATATTCTATTTTGTTTATTTCTCATCTAATTAACATTCAGAATGGGCAAAAGAAGTAAATAATAACACGAAACTTCTCCCTCTGTTTAGTTATAGATGAAGAAATATAATAAAGCTTCGCCAGCTGACTTGAAATAATTGCGGCAAAAAATTGTGAGAAAGCGCTTTGACGCTCCTGAAAATCCACTTCGCCAGGTTAGAGGGTTTAAACGTAAGGAACTCACGGGTTTTTTGGAGACTGTTGTAACGTCGTCCTTGCTACAAAGAGAATTCCTTTATTATAAGGCAAAGAGGGACAAAACAGAGATGAGACACAAAGAACATCTGCGAATACGATAGGGAGAGAGCGAGTGCGACAATTTCTCTCCGTGTTACGATTGAGAGACACTGCGTCGGAGCGCGCCGCCAGTAACGGGCGAACTCACTAGGCCACGACGATAATCGAATTAAAACGTCGGATGTAATTAGCGCGCGAAGAGGCACTGCGCCTCCTGTACACACGCGCACGCAGATGTGGTGACTCCTCTCAAATGACCGAATGGAGCTGGTGCTCCGCCGTGCGTTTCTGCGATTCGGCGCTGATCGCCACGCGTAACAATGCTGCATGCGCATCTACCGCTGAATGCTGCAATGCGACAGCTGGGTCGATATTTTTCTCGCGACCGAATTCGATCTGGCTTGGCCCGAGAGTGTTGTTTTTACGTTGACGCCTCGAGTTCTCGGCCGCAAACGCTTTATTAACGCACGAGCTTGTCTTTTTGTTTGAATTTCGCGAGCCTTGCGTACGTTGAGGAGTGAGATTTCTACACGACGACACGAGGATTCGCATTGAGAGAGAATTTTTGCTGGCATAGCGATTTGTTTCTTACTATAGTGACAGCAAAGAGATTTTGTTTACACCGAAAAAATAATTTTGCTGTTGTAGCAAAACGCCGTTGCGACAGCCATAAAATATATTTGGCATAGCTGGCAATTAATACTTTTAACAAATCTTTTTGGTGTCCAAACACAAATCTTTCTGCTGTCACTATAGTAACAAACAATTTGCTGTGCCAGTAAAAATATGTTCTCCGTGCGTTTCCGCGCGCAAGTGATCCCGTGAATATTTTCTGAGAGGGACGGGTGGATGGATGGATTGATTGATTGATACATTTATTATTGCCTTAGAACTATGTTTCTTTAGAAGCGGTACGAAGAGAGATACATGATACAGAGGATGGAAAGGAAAGGAAAAATAAGAAACATTGTTTAAAAATATCAGCAGAATTTAAACGCCGCGAATTAAGTTAAAATGTTTTCGACTCATTACAATTAGTAAAATAAGTAAATGAAGTATGTAAAGGAATAACGTTGCGCGTTAACGAGCACTTTTATTTATTAGGAATGAGAGGAAGGTTGGGGGAAATTTTGAAATTGTCGAGTATTCCGATAAAATGTACGGGCGAACGAAAACTCATTACGTGAGCAATAACGAAACATACAAACGTTCGTTTAACGTTATCCCGGTGTGTATGCCAAACCTGTGAAGTACTACTTAATAACGCACTACTTAATAAATCGCATGTCTGTATGTTGCAAATTAAAACGCCGAGCACGCGAGGTCGCTCATTAAATCCCACGAGAGAGGTTAAAATACTTTGAAAACCGTTTTCCGCTCGTAGAAATCGCCTCCCCGAGCGCACGGCTAAACTCCGACCTCACCGCCGCACACCCTCTTTTGTCTTATTTTAACCTACGATTTAATTGTTTTTCAAGCTCCTGGCGCACGTAGATTGCATGCATTCTCATCACCTTTGTTTTGGATTGTTTGTTGCATCTCAGGTCCAGGCGAATGTCCCAGGATGTCACGACGTCAAGATCGACGGATAACCTAACATCGTCTTATTACAGGTATGTACACACGCGATCGCCCGTCGTCGTTTCCTCCGTACTTTGTCATTTTATTTTCCCTCATTTCCTCATTTATCTCGAACTTGACACGAGTTTAGTGTTACAAGTAGACGCGACATACCCGCGTCGCCGACGGTCACGTTACAGCTCGATCATGTTTACGTAGTACACCTTTGCGTAGAAACGCCACTTGAAATGCACGCGAGAAGCACGTAATTGATAACGCACGCGGAGATAGCTCACGAGCGAAATCTTAGTAGGTTTCTCATCGAATATCTTCTTTTCGTCGTGGACGGTAAGTGCTCAGCGATAAGACAGTCGTAAAAATGATTTGCGCGGAGATGATAATGTATTATATCTCTTTAAGTATCTCTAATTAACCCTTTACGCGGCAAGCAAATTTTTACCGTTTGTCCTCCAAACGGCAAGGAGATAAAAATCATGCGTTTTCGGTGAAATTCAGTCTCGAAGGTTTTTTTTGGTCGCTGATTACAAATTTTGAGTTCAGTTTGGTGATTAGCGACCTCAAAAATCCTAAGATACCATTGGTAGTCAATATTGTATAAACATATTTTTCACCCCGCCCGCTATATAGGGTGAAGGGTTAATTCTTGATCCGATTTGTCTTGGACGTTTCTCTCCGGCCGATCCATAAAGATTCAATTAGATTTCAATTATTTTGTGACAAACCGAATAGAAAAATCCTCTACCATTTTGCAAATAACATGTAAATCTTTGAGTTATTAATTAAAGAAGTGCCAGGCACGACCACTTTCAATCATTAATAATTCGAAATTTTGCGAGATTGTTTGTAAAGTGGTAAGGGACTTTTCTGCTCAATTTAATACATTCTACCTGCACACGGCGCTCAGTCAAAACTTTCTTGATATCCTATATATTCTGTCTTTTTCATATGTACAAATTGCTCTTATATCTTTCCTACCTTACGCACTAAAGTGATTTATATTCCCGTCAAAAAGACGAAAAATAAAAAGAAATGAAACAAAAATATATTTATATCTCAAGTGTAATATTTTCGCGTATAAAAAAGTAGCTTTTATAGGATCGGCTGGAACGAAATGCGAGGTGTCAAGGCGCCGTGAAAGCACGTCGAGACTTGGCTCCCGCGGTGAAGAATTTCGACCAGCCCTCGAGATCGGTCTTTTTTCGCCGCGGGAAATCGTGCGACAACAGTCCTGCGGAGAACACTATCCGGTGTCTCGCTGGTCTCGTTTATTCGTTCGTCGCGGTCTCCGTTATCATCGTCGTCGTCGGCGTAACGCCCGCGGGTTCATTCACCGGCTCTCTCATTCATGCGTTCGTCTCTTTTCCACTTCCCTTTTGTTTTCCCCGTTTTACGACGTACGTCGCGCACCGTTGCGTTATTCAGGCCCATTCGCGGAAATTTCAAGCGAGCTTTATCTGCGACGGCCACGCGCGCGTCCCCGTAGATCGTCGTCGCCGCCGCCACCACCACCACCACCATCGGCGGCACTCGACTTACGAAGGTAAACCCGGCATGCTTCGTTGCATCGTGAAATTGCGTTTTGTTATGGCTCAACGAAATTGCCTCTACACCTAAGCGTTTACAAATAGCGCGCCGCGGCGAACTATTAGCGTCCAGCCCGCAAACACGCTCCGTGAGAATAAGTCGGCCCGCGCTTTATTCCCGAACGCGTGTGCCCGCGTGACTCGATTTTGCGGCGGAATAAACTGCAAATGGAAACGCGTTAACGAAGATAATCATCTTGCAACGCGACCCGCGCGCATTCGTCTCGCCCTGTCGCGAGCTCTTTCCGATTTCTCTTTGTTTTTTTTATTCTACGGCATAGAGTTCTAAATTTCGAAGAAACATGCGAGCACGAATTCGCCGAGCGGAGAGAGACTTTCGACCTCTCACAGCCGCGCGGAGATTGGCTCGGAATGGAAACGTCGACTTTGAGAGGTCGAAGTCGACGAGGCGCGGGGCACGAGACTTGTTCTTGTTTTGCCTTCCATCCGCTCTCGAGCCATCCCCGCCGCGTCTTTTGATCAGATTTGTTGTTGCACAACGGGCGATATCAACGAGAACGCACGATGTCAATTAACGATCGCGTTTATTCCATTACAGGAGCAAGAGCCGTAGCGTGGATCACGGGTTTACGGCGCCTTTCGATTTGGATTCCTTGCGGAACAAGGTCGAAGGACGCTTCGAGTCGGTGGATAAGCTGTCAAAGGGTGAGTGCGCGTTGTTATTCACTAGTCAATTAAGACGGTCGAGTGAACGTACCTTCCTTTCTAAAAACTACCGAAGTGCGTACATGTCGTATCTTACTCGCGAACGTCATCACGATAGAATTGATCCTTGCAAAAAGGACGATCGTTTCGCAAGTAACGAGCCATATGACTTGATCACTTCTCGCTCAGCCACTGGCCACGGTATCGTGCTAAATTAAAAAAATATGATATAAAGCGAAAGAAAAATGGTCGAAGAGGGAATAAATTAAAGTGGTGTTTTCTTATCCACGACTATTTTCGTTACTCGATTAATCCGACGGAGCACTTCACTTCTGAAAAAGCGTGTCGTCTGCTGGTATACGTTCTTTCCGTGACTACCGACCAGTCTCGATCCGGTCGTGTTATCAAAATGGAGCTGATTTAAATCACGATACTCAGCGCGGATTCGCGGAAATCCGGCCGGACGTTTTCCACGACGGTTCCGTTCGGGGAGAGGCTGTGGTGACCATGACGATCAGGCGCGATCCGAAGGTCCCCGGGATCTCCGCGTATATTCCGATGTCAGCCCGGTCGCCCACAACCTTACTCGGACGAATTACATTGACTTACTTTCTCGAACTGGCACAAGTGCCACGTGTGATCGATCGCGCCCGGTCGCAAGCAAGCAAGCAAGCGAGCGAGCATTTGGAATCGACGCGTTACTGATACACCGTGCAACGCCGGCGGGCTTAATGAAGACTAATTGACGCGCGGTATTAAGGATAAAGTGGTACTGGTAATTAATGAAGTGACATCCTCGATCCGGAACGCGAGATCCGGCCGCGGCGAGATCGCCCGCGGATTACGGGCAGGTGGCGAAACAACCGTCGCGCGCCTTGCGATCGCCCGCAGACGCGCGGGTTTTTAATCGGGATGAATAATTCAGTCGCGATGCATAATTTATGGGCTCGCTTTGTGCGCGAGATACACCGAACGGGTTAATCCGCGATCCAGCGGACGCTGTTTATCTAGCGCAACATTCCTTTCTTTCTTCCTCCTTTTTTCTACCACGTCGCATATTAGGTCAATGTTAGGTAATCATCGTGCGGAAGAGCCCGGCGATGGAATGAGAAGGAGAGAGAGCGAGTGGAATAGATTCTTCGTATTTGTGATATACAAGAATGAGTGAGGCTGAATGGAAAAGTTGTCATTTTGCAAAATTCGCAATAGTAATTAATGAGGAATTAATCAAGTGTGAGATAATGAGCGCACGGGAAGCGACAGGCCGGACTCTGTACAAAGAAAGATAGCTTCTAAAAATCTTCCGGCAACGATCGAGAGGATTTTCAGAGGTGGATTTCTAAAGGCGGAGGGAGCAGCGGGCGGCTGAACGCGCCGAAAAGAAACACGTCTCTCGTTATCAGTTGATACCATCGTTGCTAGGAGATCTTCAGGAGTAAGCCATTTTTCTTCATACAGAGTCCGACCTGCGGCTCCCTGTATGCTTATTATTAGTTCGTAACGAGGGAAATAATCCCTCGTTACGAACTAATCCCTCGTTAACTATTGCAAATTTCGCAAAATGGCTTTACTGAAGAAATTTGCGTGTGAACTGAAAATAATGTGATGTAACAGATACGCGGAGAGAACGTTAGGAATAAACGGCGGGAGAATTCAAACTAGATGCTACATATTAGAAACAAGCGTGCGTTTACAAAACATTCAGCAGAGAATGCACTGAACATACTAGAAAAGAAAAGAAAATTAAAAATGAAAGATGAAAGTAAGCGTGAGAGGGGGAGGGGGAAGAGATAGCGTGATTTCGTGCTGCGTAATTTCGTCGTAGTGATTGGATTAGCGTGCCGGACGATCGGCTCGTTATTCATTTTAATATCGATAACGGGAACATAGGTGAAATATCGCAGATTTTATCGCTCTCGCATAATTATAATGCCGCGGCGAACAAAAAAGCGCATCTGTATAAGATATGTTTCCGAGAATCCTTCCTCAAGCATACACGTTACTCCTATATTAATGCAGGACTTTCTCTGTGCCGGCGCACCGTTTGAACACGTAACGTAACACCACGTGGCGGGCACTTATCGGCTCGCGAACGGACGCGTGCGACGTCCCGATAGATCGTCGCAGCCGCTCCGAATTTCGAATAGCGAAATTGCCGCCGAAAATTCGAAGATTTCGTCCCGGCGGTGCCGCGAGCAGTTTATTAAATCCGCTTCTCTCGAGCACGCGAGTAACTAGCGCGCGCGTTTAAATCATTCGCCGGTGCGCATACATGCGCGTCGCTTTAATGCGAGCCCAGCCGAGGGCCTGCCAAGGGACAATTGTTTCCAACTATCGCCAGAAATTTATCTCATTACCTCGCACCAGCCGCTCGCGCAATTGCACGTCTGAGAGGTGTAATCCGCCGCCCAATCTAGCCTCCTGCGCTCGAAGTTAATAGCGTTTGCAGTACGTATTATTAATTAAACTCGGATCGGACGCGAGGGAAGTTGTCTCTCTCTCTTTCTCTCACTTTTTTTTTTTACTCGGTAGATTATCCTTCTTATTTTTTCACCGTTGCGAGCGTGATTTATTTATTTGCGGATTGAAAGCTCACCCGATCGCGACGGGGGTTGAAAGGCGAGCGCGGATCCTATCGCATGGATATTTCGTCTCGTTTTTCACCGATAATTTAATCTCGTTAGTGTTTCGACGTTATTATCGGCTACGTAAGCGGTTTTAATTCCCGGCTCGCTCTTTGGAATGATCATATCGATTGAAGTCGTCTCTTGGGAGGGAGCAAAATCGGGAGGAAAACCGAGAGCCGGAGTGTGCGATGCAAATTGTCGATTGCATCGACGTTTTTATGGAGGCTCTCTCTCACTCATTCTGTTTCTTTCTCTCTCTCTCTCTTTCTATCTCCTCCGGTGTGTGCACACGTGCAACTGTTTACACTGCAACGACACTGGTTGCGCATGCTGTGCAAATGTTTATTTCCGATTATAACGTGCACGAATATCAGCGCGCGCGTGCAATCTATACAGATAGGCTATGAAAGTTTCTCGGAAGCGACGAAGCGTCAAAACGACCGGCGACGAAGAAACAAACTGGCGTTAGCAAACCTGTCCGTCGTGATTTATAAATTCCGGTTAGTCCCCCCAATCTTCTTCTTTTTTTCTCTCTTTCTCTGTCGGCGTGTTCAAGTATCCCGCCTCTGCTCGCCTCTGTGACGCATATCGTTTCGATCGTTCGCACCTCGATCGCGAGATCCGCTTTACGACCGGGGAATTTTAGACACGCGTTTGAGGAGCCGCGAATGACGCTGTCGAAAATAGCGATGATATTATTAAAGATCGCACGACTTGTTTACAGCTGAAATTTTAGACCGTAATGTTTAGTTTTGTCTTAAAAGGAGACGTGTCGAATGTCGCGAGGTAATAACGCCGGATCTGTTGATCCTGGAGCGAGCGCGTGAAAACAGTCCGGTCTTCTTCTTTGAGCTCCGTGATTTGAACGGTCGCTCGCGAAGCGGACACGTTGTACACAGTAAAATGTGTTCAACTTAACACATTTCATTCTCAAAGAATCCACGGAAATTGTTGGTGTTAATTTAACATAAGGTGAATGAAGATTGAAAGGTAACACAAATATTATGTCAAAAATTAGCACAAAATTAATATTCATGATATGTTAATCAACACCGAACTATAAAATATTTTAATACTTACACGTGTTGAATATCGATTCGACACAAAATATTTGAGATAATCTAAACACAATATGTTAAATCAACGTACGAATATGTTACAAATTTAACGCAAAACTTTTAACAAGGACCGACTTTAACACAAGCATAAGATGCTTTTTACTGTGTAATAATATACAAAGTAATAATTCTTTATAAAATAATAACGACGCCTTATGAAAAGATGATAAGTCATTGGTACTTGCAATGTGTGGATTTGAACTTAAACACAATAAAAAACGCGTTAAAAAACACTTAAATTTTTGTGTTACTTTAACATGGAGAATGCGTTAAGAAATACTTAAATCTAATGTTAAAATAACATATTCACCTTATCAGCATATTACTTTTTAACACATTCACTTTGTTAAAGTAACAAAAAATTCCAGAGGGCCGTTTTCAGCACCAATTACCGTGTGCTTAATACATTGTATTAGTTTCTCTGACTTTTTATTCACCCAGCATCGTATCTCTTAATTATAAAGTTGCTGTTGCTACCGCGAGGTTATTGGCATTCTTCATTTATGCATGAGATTACGGTCGAAGGTCTGTAAAATTATGTTTGTTTCTTATTCATGTATTCGCCGCAACGCAGCGGCTTACTCGCCATATGCGGTGAACAAATATCGAACACCTCTGTTATATGGGAAAATTAATTATCTCAACGACCCTTCTTTCTCCCTCTGCCTTTCTATCGGGGTCTTCACGTATCCCTTATGCAATAATAACAATTATACAGTCAATTACGGCGGGACATTCACGGTAATCTGGAGCGATTGACGAGAATAGAATTTCCAGCCATTATCGGCGTGGCGTAACTCCCGGCCATTAACCGGCTCTTTATCGCCCGCGAATAATTCATTCCCACGTAATACCACTCGTAAATATCGATTAAGGAGAATTTGGCTTTGCCAAATTCGCGATGCGATCGATTGATCTCGGCGATCAGTCTCGGAATTCCTCCTTCCAAGAACCTATCTCTTTAATTAATCGCCGTGCATTGTCGCCGATAAGGAGCGCGGAACAGGCGCGATTGAATAGTCCCGCCAACGAGTGACGTCAGCGCGATTCATCATGGCGATCAGTTACGCCGGCGTAGTCGCGGCGGCCGTGCGTCGCGGCATTCGTAAATCGCGCGGTGTCCTCGATCGTCGCTGCACCGGTTCGATGTCGACATTGTCCGGACGCATCTCGTGATCGGCTGCCCCGGGCCTCGAACGATCGACGGTACAGTATCCCTCGAAGACGACCACGGCGACGATAACGACGACGAACG